CAAAACTGTCGTGATGTGCAGATCACCTATATTGAGATATTGGTGCAAGAAAATGTTTTGATTTATATTATGCGTCGATGGATGCCACTGTGAAATTATTTTGAAATGTTTATCGTCCTTTTTAGTGTCACGGCAGTGGCCGAGAAGATAATAATTCGGAGCTACATAACTTGCCGATTTAAACGGTAAAATAATCTTACTTTAAATAAAAAAAGTTTATGATCCCAGGTCTTCTTGACCAGCAAAGATCCACGTGGGTCATCTGGACAGCGTGGGTTGAACAAAAACTTCATCCAAAAAGAGAAAGAAATCATCTTGAAGAAAATTTAACAATACTTAGTGCAAGGTTGCACTGAGATACTTGTATACATTTGAAATTGCACAATTTTCTGTCGTACTAAGAAAGGAAAAACATACATCCCCACTGCTTCTGCCTTTTAATTTTTTTTTCTGTTTCATTTTCACCTCTGTACATTTCACACTTCTCATTGGTCTCAAATATGATTTTCGTAACATACGTAAGCAAATTCAGTATTCTCACCCATTATAGCATATTTGTTTTACGGCTTCATCTCCTCTTAGTAACGTCTGTTTACGAGCCATGTGGCCCATCAGGCTGGCACTTAACTCTGGTTTCCGTACCATGCAGCGGCTAGGAGTACTTCTACTCCCTCCTGGATGGGATGCCAGTACACCGCAGGATTACCCCCCAGCATTAAATTCGCTGGTACCCATTTAGACACCTGGATGAAGAGTGCCCAAGAACACAAAACAATGTACGAACCTGGACCCCCGTTCAACCACAACAACAACAACAACAACAACAACGACAATTTGTTCTTTGATTTTTTACATAAAATAACAGTGGAATAGTTTGCCCCGCAAATAGCAAGAAAGCTAATCGTGGCAGGGCAAGACAAGTACCTGAATAACATAAATCGTCTCATGATATCTTAGGACAAAGAGTTGTTATTTATACAGTCACACAGAAAAAGAATAAAAGACATTTAAACTGAGAAGGTGTACCTATGTACCTACTTTTTTAATGATCATAGGGATTTGAATATAATTATCTTCTTTTTCTTAGATATGAAATAGCAATTTGCGAAGGAATTTTTTGAAAGCTTTCTTTGGGCGATCCATAAATTCAACAGAATGCGCTTTTCCAGGTGACAATTCTCGTTCGACGTGTCGGCAATGTTGATTCTTTGACAAGTCGTCGGAAACTTTCTGCAGTTTGTTCTTTAGTTCTTCAATTTCATTACGCAAAGCTTGATTTTCCTTTCGTAGTTTGTCGTTACCCGTCATACTAGTGGTTTTCAGGATATGTAGGTTCAGGGTAAGAGAGGAATTTGTGAGATAGCTCCGCCGCTACCGTCAAAGACACGTCTGCACAGCTCAGTGCACCTTTTGTGTTCCGGAGTCGAGTGCACTAATCGTGAGGCCACCGCGCCCTCCCCCATCTTATGAGGGTTTTAATGAAGGGGGCGGGGGGGGGGACACGTTGGCGGTTGACGGTTAAAAATAAGCCCTTTTGACGGTTGACGGTTAAATTTGAGGTCACTTATTGGTTGACGGTTGAAGGTTAATTTTTTGGAATACCACATATAAAACGAAATAATCGCGCAAATTTGGCTGTAATTTTTTATAATGACGCGTTTGTAAAGAACTGTTAATTGATATCAGCTTTTATTAATAAATGACTAACGCTGTACGACACCGGAAGTTTTTCTACGCTGGTAGTCAGTTCTGTCGCTAACCAGTTTTACTAGCGCCTAGAAGTTAAAGGACTTACATAAATGTACTTTTGTGATGTATGACAAGTTTTATTTATAAACAACAGGACATGAAACCATTTAAGGCAATCGTTTAGTTAGACATTTGACGACTAAAATTGGCTTGCCTATTTGACGCGGTTGACAGTAAAAATATCTTTGAAGGTTGACGTCAATATTTTGGCCATTTGACGGTTGATGGTTAACCCCATTGAGACCATCATATGTACCTGGAGGAAAAAAATTTTAGACTGTTTTTCTCGATGAAGTTATGACGATTAAAACCTCTTTTGACCTCTTCTGAGAAACGTAAACATAATGTGACACTTGGCTTTTCATCATCTATCTAACGTCTGCAGAGTATTGATAAACGGATTAAAAAATTTATTTCATTTAAAACCGTCGGTAATTACATGTATCATTTGATCATATCGCATCGCATTTCAGCACCTCTTTGACCTGTCTGAGCTTGTTTCACTCGCAGTAGCGTCTAAAGCAATTCTCTTCACAAACGGCACAATCATACCACCCAATAATGGATTCTAAGATCGAAGTCGGGCAGGAGAACATTTATTTCGAAATGGAGTCCAAACAGAAAGATGACGCCGGAACCTATGATGATATAATTCCCAGAAACGACCCTCCTCACGCAAAGCCAAACGTAGAAGCCCAGCCGTGTAAAGATTTTGCGACAGTGAAACATCACCGATTATTCTTTATCGCATCTGCCATTGCCGTTGCGTCACTCTTAACAGCCCTTGCCACTTTGGTTTTAGCGGTGGCAGTGATGGCGTCACGGAGCGAAGTTTCGACAGGTATCACTACCATTTCCCTTTCCTGTAGTACGTTAACAAACGAGTGTTCAAAAACACAACCTCCTGCCTTCAAAGCAAATATTCAACAAATATTCATAGACTCACATGTACAAGATAGAATATATGAGAAATCTGAGGAGTTAATGCAGCCCTTTGCGTTGAATTATTATTCTTTTTTTTTTTTTTTTTTTTTTTTTTTTATTTATTTGTCTATTTACTCTGCCAGATACGTCACAGCTTGAAAAGAAGGTTCAGGAGTTAGAAAGACGCCTCTCGGCCGTAGAGAAAAATTCGGTAGGAGTAACTTAACATATCCTAAAATCAATAATGACCCAACTCTGGTTAAAAGCAAGATGGCTTGGTCTAACGCAAATTTAAATAAACTATGTTACCTTTGGTTAAAATGAATAACTGAAGTTCATATAATTTGAACTGCGGTATTAAATACGTATGATGCACGATCCTTCGCAGTAGATAGCGCTATTTATGCAATAGCGAAAATCAGACCTGAAAAAAATCAGGCCTGTACGGGATTCGAACCACTGACCTCTGCGATACTAGTGCAGCGCTCTACCAATTGAACTAACAACCCAACTGGGAGCAGGCCGTTAAGTTGATTCGTAATAAACCCGTGATGATAAATCAGATACAATGAATATATGAAGTTCATATAATTTGAACTGCGGTATTAAATACGTATGATGCACGATCCTTGGCAGTAGATAGCGCTATTTATGCAATAGCGAAAATCAGACCTGAAAAAAGAATCAGGCCTGTACGGGATTCGAACCACTGACCTCTGCGATACTTGTGCAGCGCTCTACCAATTGAGCTAGCAAGCCAACTGGGAGCAGGCCGTTAAGTTGATTCGTAATAAACCCGTGATGATAAATCAGATACAATGAATATATGAAGTTCATATATTTTGAACTGCGGTATTAAATACGTATGATGCACGATCCTTCGCAGTAGATAGCGCTATTTATGCAATAGCGAAAATCAGACCTGAAAAAAATCAGGCCTGTACGGGATTCGAACCACTGACCTCTGCGATACTAGTGCAGCGCTCTACCAATTGAACTAACAACCCAACTGGGAGCAGGCCGTTAAGTTGATTCGTAATAAACCCGTGATGATAAATCAGATACAATGAATATATGAAGTTCATATAATTTGAACTGCGGTATTAAATACGTATGATGCACGATCCTTCGCAGTAGATAGCGCTATTTATGCAATAGCGAAAATCAGACCTGAAAAAAATCAGGCCTGTACGGGATTCGAACCACTGACCTCTGCGATACTAGTGCAGCGCTCTACCAATTGAGCTAACAAGCCAACTGGGAGCAGGCCGTTAAGTTGATTCGTAATAAACCCGTGATAACAAATCAGATACAATGAATATATGAAGTTCATATATTTTGATGAGTAGCCATTTCGAGCGTTAGCCCTTTGTCGGAGCCACTTTGGCCACCGTTACAGTTATAAAAGCAGACGTTTCGAATGTTAGCCCTTCGTCGTTAGCCCTTGGCCCTTTGCTCCGACGAAGGGCTAACGCTCGAAACGTCTGCTTTTATAACTGTAACGGTGGCCAATTTACCATTTCAGCTTTGTTGATATATTCAAATTATTTCGTTACCCCCACCGACGTAGCCCCAAATAGTTTCTTTAGAAACTATTAACCTTTATTCATTTGTAGTTAAAAATATGCGAGGAGTGTTGCGTAAATGAACGCAAACAAAAACTTACATTTTCCACGTATAAACATTGGCTAAATCCATTCCTGAAAAAACGGCGGCAAAAAAGTAATCATATCTCTTCAAAGTCGTTTCCTTGGACATCGAAACAACCTTTCGCCATAATCTTTCTTGTAATAACTTGCTATGTTTTCCCCCTGACGACCTCAGAGACGTTTGCGAAAACACGATGATCCGCGAAATGTGAAAGAGAGGATTCTAGTTACCTTTCCTAACACTTTATCCCTGGGATGTTTGCAAATGCACGAGAGTTGGTGTCGCAAAGTCCTGCTCTCATGTACTCACCTTCTGACAATGTAGCTGAGTCTGACATTCCGACAATCTTGAAATGCATGCTGGCGTCCTTGGTACACAGTAGCGACCTTAAGATTCGGGTCGGCTACCGAGGACGCTTGCAAAGTTTGGACGACGAGGACTGGGTCGAGGGCCCGTCTCGCTCGATGCCCAAAAAAGATTAAGATTCTTGTGGATGTGGCAGCCATTTTTATTCCAGAACTTTTGGTTTATTCCTTTAGCATAAACCCATTTCCTATCGCTGATAGGGAACTCTCCTTGGGTTTTGAAATCACATTTATCTGAATATTAGGGCTTTCGAACAGGAGGCGAGTCTTATGTCAGCAAATTCGTCATCTGCTTGTAAGTAAAGTTTTCTTTTCACAAAACTTAATCCTGTTGTCTGCTTGTTTGTTGTCTAAGTTAGTTTTCGTGTGATACGGACAAGAGATGAGTACAAATTGAGTTTAAAGGATACACGTGAAGCCGTAGTTTTAGCATACTATAGTGGGTTTATAGATGATGAGGACTTTTGTCTGTTGTTTGATATTAATCATTAAAAAAATCCTGAGTTTCCCTACGAGGGCTACGGAACGTTAGACCTTGCTGAAGTGGAATAAAATATTTTCCCCAGTTTATAACTCCAATTACAATATATTTTTTTAACAGAAGGTAAAAAACCATGATGCATCAATGTTGGTCGAGTCCAGGTTACTGAATGACCTTGAGACGTACGCTTTCTCTCCAACGGGCCAGGCAATGTGCATTTACGGTGATCCAGCATACCCTCATTGTGTGCACCTGCAGAAGCCATTTCAACGTGGAGTGCTGACAAATCAGATACAGCAATTTAATAAGTCCATGAGTAAAGTTCGCTCCTCTGTTGAGTGGATTTTTGGGGACATCATTAACTGTTTCAAATTTTTAGATTTCAAGAAAGACTTGAAGTTGGGTCTGAGTCCTATTGGTAAAATGTACATAGTTTGTACCTTACTTAGGAACGCACTAACTTGCTTCTATGGTAACACAACTTCTGATTTTTTTCCAATTGGACCCTCCCTCTTTTCAAGATTACCGTATTTTCTCGATTAAACGTGCCCGGCGTTTAATTAAAAATCGGCAGTGTTGACCCAACGTTTTTTTCTAGGCCGGCGTCTAATCGGGGTCTGGTGTTTATTAATGAAAGGCAATTTTCTGCCATTTTTCAAGCTTAATTTATTATTACCAATCCTTGGAAACCTAAGGGCAGTTTGTCAGTGCTGGACGATTTTTCCCTGGATTACCCGAAGTTACAGTATTATGGTACCGTACATGCGGCACGTGTACCACGTTGCAATCTGTATCACTAACTATCACTATTTCTATCACTGCCGGTACACTGTAATTGTACGCCAGTTCTAATCCATATAAATGTCAAGTTCTAAGATGTTAACGCCCTGCGGGGTATGGCTTCCTGTAAAGTGCCTGGTGTGGTCACATATACAACGCAAGGATCTGCTCGGTTTTTTTTTTCTGTTAAACATTTGAGCTTTATCCTGTACAATGTAATACGGTACGCTATTATACGAATGGAAAATCCAGGAACCGAGGAAACATTTGAATTTGATTGCTATGTGCGGGGGTACCACGTTACCGAAAAACACTGGAAAGATATCGCGATCGGTAAAGGTCTTACCGTATGCTATGAAGAAAACAACAAGTACGACCCATGTGCAATGGCTGTTTATCGTGGGCATGGACCTGGTAACGAAAGGATAAATGTCGGGCATATACCCATCGAGCTATCATCGACCCTTTGCTTCTTCGTCAAACTGATGGAGGGAATATTTCAACTAAAGTGAGACAGAAAAACTATCGAGGAAGCAATTTGGAACAAGGTGGCCTTGAAGTCCCTATTTCATTGCAATGCGCGCGTCAGGGACAGTTTACCCCTCCGATTCCCCCTTGTGCGGATCGCGGGAATTTTTGCTACAATGTGCTCGAAAAATTTTGTTGCGCGCTGTTTTGTGTGTAGGCGAAAGTTTGTTTCTTCGATCATCTTTTACCTTTTGATGTTGACGTTTTATTTGAGCCTGGAGATGCCCAAAAATATGTGAGTCG